CGTCATTATGTACGCTACACCTATGTACATTGCCGTACCAGTCCCGCGTGGTCCGCTCTGTGTCTATTCCTTTCATACGCATAGGGCCTCTCCCTGGTCGTGCACGCGCGTACGCGTGAAAATGAGCCTAGAAAAGTCGAGATGTGAAAAGGCATCAAAACCAATTTACTCAGCAAGTAAACGAAAAAAAAATAAATTACATTTCCTTTCGAATTTGTTCAAATGTTTCTTTATATTCCAAAAGATGAGGATGAGTTGAAGGTAATTTTTCTTGAGCTATATCTATCGCTTGTTGAACATTTTTCATTGCCACACTATATTTTCGTGTAGCCAAATATAATTTTGCCATATTATGATATACAACAGCTAAATCAGGATGATTTTTTGGTAATTTCTTCTCACGTATTTCTAATCCTTTTTCGAAATATGTCAATGCTGTTGAATAATCTTTCATTTCACGATAAGTTTCACCTAAATTTATATATGTCATTGCACATTCCAGAGGATTACATTGAACATTTTCTTGAATATTTAATGCTTTTTGATGAAATGCAAGTGCCGTTTCATCATCACCCATTAATCGATGAACATCACCAATATTACTATATGTAATAGCCTGATAGGGATGTTTTTCAGGTAACGTTTTCAGATATATTGAGAGACACTTCTCAAAATTATCAAGTGCTTTTGAGTAATCTTTCATACTGCGATAAACTCTTCCGAGCCAACCATATGTTGAAGCAAAAGCTGGATTACCTTCTTGAAATGCTTGTTGTTGAATTTGAAAAGCACTTTGAAGAGCCTTAAGAGCTGCTGCGTAATCACCCATTCTTTCGTAACACGTTGCAAAACTCATGTGACTACCAGCCAAATGAGGATGATTCGGAGGAAGAGCTTTTTCTCTTATTTTAAGTGATTTTTCACAAAATTCAAATGCTTTCGAGTAGTCTCCCATGTTGTTATACACTTGACCGATGCAAGTATAGGAAGCAGCCAAATCGGGATGATTCGGAGGCAGAGCTTTTTTCGTGATTTCGAGATCTTTTTCGTAAAATTCAAGTGCTTTCGAGTAGTCACCCATGTTGTTATACACTTGACCAATGCAAGTATAGGAAGTAGCCAAATGAGGATGATTCAGAGGCAGAGCTTTTTCGTAGATTTTATGTGATTTTTCGTAAAATTCAAGTGCTTTCGAGTAGTCACCCATGGTGTTATACACTTGACCGATATTGTTGTAGGAAGTAGCCAAATTGGGA